ACGTACGTTACGTACGTACTACGTACTACGTACGACGACGACGAGAGAGAGAGAGAGAGAGAGAGAGAGAGAGAGAGAGAAAGAGAGAGAGAGATATGATTCACAAAGGGAGGGAGACAAAGTGTGCGTGAAAGGGAAGAGAGAGACCGAGAGTGAGTTCAATAAAGAGAAAACCAAAGGGTTCTAATAAGTCAAGTAGTGTTATCAAATGCGGCCATGGGTTATCAAAAGATCGATAAATTTTCAATTTTTTCCGATTTCTTCCGAAATCAAAGGCGATGCCTTGTGGTAGTTTTCGGAGCTTCTAGCGGTCGATAGCGAGGACTTTTGTCGATCAAATAAATGAGGTTTGGGCCGACATAGTTTTCATTTTGATATTTTTAGAGCAGTATACCATTATGATATATGAGGGTTTTGGGTTTTTTTGCTATAATGTGTGAATCGTTTGATTTTTTTTTTTAACTATTTTTTCCTGTTATGATATATTTACATGTTTGTTGTTGAGAGATTGATTTTTTTGTGCTTAATTGATTATTAACTCGTTTGGACGATGAAATTGGTCCTATATCAAATTCTTTTATGAATGGTTCTTATTTTGTACAATGTGTGATGTTTTGGTATCCTATTAGTTTTGTTTTACATATAGTAGATGGAACATTTGCCGATTTGGACTTATATTTTATGAATAGTCATAAACTTTGGATGAAATTGATATTTTGCGAATATTTTATACCCAATCTATATCTTATGGATATAAATTAATAAATAATTACTATATTATAACTTTTTACCTTAATTAATAGTCCCTAAAGGCAGGCGCCAAGCCGTCTTGGCAGTCAAGCCCCCAAAACGCCAAGACGCCCGCCTGTGCATTTTTTTTAACATTGCTCCGAATAATATTCTCCCTCTCTCCATGCTCTCTCTCTCTCTCTCTCTCTCTCTCTCTCTCTTTACCCAACATTTTCCCCACTCCTAATATTAGCAAATCTTCTATTTTCCAATCTCATGTTAATCTCTTCCTAAGAAAATCTCTAAGCCAACTAAATCGCTTAAAACTAGGATTCCCTTATCTACATCCTAAATAAAATATATCCTAACTATTTCTTACAGAAAACTTCCTATTTTGCCCCTTAAATCTCTATATGAAAAGACAAAAATAACTCTATGCATAAAATCTAAAAATAGCAAAATAACAAAACAAAAAACCCACTACATCATTCTCCCGGGGTCGGAAGAAACTCGACCTCGAGCTTGATGAACTCAAATCTTTTAGAGGCCTTCTCAAAAGTTGATGATGCAGTCCCAGCATTCTTCTAAGTACTTTTTCTTCTTCAAAAAACGATTGATCCAACACATTTTGTAGTGGAACTCTAAGATATCAAACTCTAGAATAGTAAACTGAATCATGATTTATCCTTCAGGCTCATAGGGTTGGCTTTCACATACTGCATCACACAAGTCTTCTTCTTCATAATTTATTTTCGAAATTTCTTGCACCTTTGGGTTATTAACATCGTCTTCTGCATAGAGATCTACCTCTTCACGTTCTTGTTCCTCTTGTTGTAATCTACTAAGCCGATCTTGTAGATATTGTAGTATTACTCTGCCAAGATCTTCCATGTGTCTCAAATATTTTATCCAGTAGCTCAAATATTTGATCAAATCAATCAAATCGCTCCATGTGGTGCATGGTTCTCTGATCTCAAGGCTTTGATACCAGCTTGATGAAGAGGAAAAAATAAACCAGAAAATCTAAAAGGTAAAATAAAGGCTGAGAGAATATATACCCTATATGGGTCTACAAGGGAGTCCACACTAAAGACCTCTTCACAAGATCAAATAAACACTATGTCTTTATTCAATTCACTATCTCACATAATAGGGATGTCTTTCCCTTTTAAAGACAAACTAAAAAAAGAAAATAAAATAAAACTCCAAAAATATTCTCTCCACCCACGTTCTCTCTCTCTACCCCACATTTTCCCTTCTCCTAATCTTAGTAAATCTTTCCTTCCCCTATCTCACATTAATCTGTTCCTAAGAAATCCCTAAGTCAACTAAATCCCTTAAAACTAGAATTACCTAATCAATGTCCTTTAACAAAATATGTCCTAACTCCATAGAAACTTCCTATTTTGCGCCTTAAATCTCTAAAAGGAAGAAAAGAAATAAATAACCCTACACATAAAATCTAAAAATAGAAAAACAAAAAAATAAAATATACAAAACCCCATTGCATCACTAAGGCCTATTCCAGATAGGATTATTGTTATAACAATAAATAATTATATGATATTAATAATACAATAGGACTATGAATTCTATAATATGTAATATATTATATATTAGGAATATACATATTATTTATCGTATACCCTGATCGAATCATGGCATGTGAACCTAGACTTGGGCCCAACCTGGGAAAATGTGGAGTCCCTACATTTGGACCCACACCTGACAGCTAGTCCAAAAACGAACCAAACATGAACCCATTTCAGTTAGACCTAACAGGTCACTTGGTCAACCCTATAAGCAACCCAATCTCACAAGGTGATTCTTTTAAATAAGTGTGCCATCAACATTATAATCCTCAATGGGAACCATTTTACCTTTTCGGTGTCTTAGGTCGTAAACTTTAAGTGTAATATATGAGGGGAGAGAAGGCAATGTTACATGGTCACTGCCAACACACATGTCAATGTCTATTATGTACCTCAGGTGCCGAATGCTTTGTCCCATAAACCAAGTATGGCCCCGATACATTTGTACAAATATTTGCATAGAATTTTGACATATGTTTTATTATATGTCAGGTAAATTTTTGGAAATACAAATATAAGATTACGAAAAATAAAAAGTAAGACAAAAAACATAAATTTTGTCTCACATATGAAAAAATTGCATTTCTACTTGAGTCTTCTACAATGTAACGCTTTTTTTAACTTATTCATTAGCAAAATGCAGATGCATCATATAGCTTCTCGACCAGGTCACTGCTTTTAGGCAAGTTAAGGTACAATTCTCTTTTTTGCAATATAAGAAAGTTTTGAAGGACCATTTTCAAGTCCAAGACAAAAATTAACTTTCTTTTGAATAAAAAAATGTGTAGAGGGAAGTTTATCGTTTAGCTTCCCAAGGTAGAATAGTCTGTGGGCACCAATAGTAAATTTTGTTTTCTTGTACCACTATATGTTGAAAGCGCATTGGCAAAATGGCTTGACATTTTCATTGGGACGTTGTTGGTTCAAATCCTACCAAAAGCACTTCTTTTCTTATAATACAACTATTGCACCTTTTGATAATAGACATATATGACCAGATGTGTTGGGCACATTTGTTGAATCACTGAGTCACACGACACATACAGACCACATGTCTACGTGTGTCGAAGCTTATCGACAAGCTTCTGAGTGTCAATATGTTTCAAACGTGTAACACCAAAGATATCCTATAGTACCAAGGTAACACTAGAGAAGTGATGGACCACCACCAACTTGCTCACTGCACTTCGCCAAAAGAATTTGGGAGAACTTCCTATTGTCTCCTAGGGATTGCCTAGGTTTGAAACTGATGCCAAATTGTCTGGCTCATTGACATTGATCAAACGAGAGGTAGGATCCTTCAAAGGTGTGGACCTGTGGGTAACTTGAAATGTTTCGGGACAAGCAACGAGGGTGATGAAATCTAGGCAATCAATTCTAGTGTGGATAGGTATGGCAGAACATGTAGAAAGTTCTAACATATGGGCTTTCAATTTAGGAGTTTATAGGGGTAGAGGTGGAGGATCTTATTAGAGCACACGAGCGAATGGCGAGAGAAAAGTTCCTAAGTCAAGGGTAGGGACCCATAGAGGGCTGCCTGAACGAGATCACAAGCTCATTTGGATGTCAATCATGTGGAAATCTAAGTTGAAACAGAGTTTGGGGGATCCAAGTGGGAAAAGGGTTTCCATCTCTTAAAAACAGACACGGTTTCCTTGATATAGCGGTGTTGCATTGTTCTTAGTAACTATAAAATTGTGCTAGTTGAGTCAATTTCCCTACCTCAACCCTAATTGAGTATGCTAACTCCATCCATTCTTAATTTTGTATACAATTTAATTATCAAAAAAAAGAAAAAAATGAATACTCCTTAAAAACCCACAAAAATCTGGCATCATGGAAACTAAGCTATCAAGCATACTCTTCATTGGTGGCTAAAATCCAAATTCCAACAATGGAACAAAGGCCATTATCAATATCACACCTTTTTGCCCACATTTTATTGTTTACCAATGGAGTGCAACAATGATATTGCTAGCAAAACAGTTAAAATAAAGCATGGCCGAACTCACCCTACCTCTCCAAAAACCCAAAAATATTTTAGATAACATACAATTTCACAGTCAATGGAGAAGACCACTTGGTCTCGAAATAATAACAGAAACGAAAACAACCATACATGCAGATTTTCCAACACAAAAAGATCATATACACATACAACGAAATTTTTTATTGATAAAATCATATTTCAAATTAATTTCACTCCATATCTTAAAACTCCAAGAACCAAACACCAGCAATTTTCAAAGTAGACCATAACACCAATAAATAAACAGTAAACCTTAATAGTTAATATAATCAATGAATGCTTCACCACCGTGAAAAGGGGAAAGAAATATTAGACCTTGAATGAAGAGAATGACTTACCTATGGCGAGCTCCCCCATGATCACGAAACCTATCATCATGCATATAGAAAGCCCCAGCAGTTGGAACTGCAAAAGGCTCAGTCTCTTTCTTCTCCTCCTCTGGCTGAAGTCTCTGTGTCTCTTCTTCCCCAGATCGCCGGATTCCAGCAACCTCCCCAGAATCCGGTAACTGAACCAGAACCTCCCCTTCTCTCTCCTCAAAATCCTCCTCTTCCACTTCTCTCTCCTCAAAATCCTCCCCCTCATCTTCTTCTTCTTCTTCCTCCTCTTCCAATTCGTCCTCGTAGGCTGGTGCCCCACCCTGCCCGTCAGATTCACCCCCAGATTCAATTCCAGCCCTCCGATCAACAATCTCAAGATTCCTCCCTTCTTCTTCGTCGTCACTGGCCTCTCTTCGCCTCATAGTTAGAGAAAGAGAGACGTCCGGATCGCTCTCATACTCTGTATCTTCAAACTTCTCAGTCATGTTCTCCACCATTTTTGTGGTGGAATCCGGTTCCTCTGTTTCAGAGGGCATACTTCCTATGTAGAAGTGAACAAATTCCTAGAAAAAAAAAGCCCAACCTTTTCGCAAGTTTCAGAAGAGGAGAGCAGAGAATTAGGGTTGGGGTTAGGGTTTTAGCAGAGGCCACGATTGTGGAGTTAACGAAGCGAGGGGATTAAGGTTAGGGCTACCAGAATTTTTTCTTTTGTGGAGTGAGCTCATGGATTTGCAGAGAGAATTACAGAGAGTTTTGGATCTAGGGTTTGCTAAATTTGTAGAGGGAGGGAGAGAGAGATGAATGAGAAGGTATCGTGCAGTTATCCAACTACGTTCTCTACCTCTGCTAACCATATGAAAGGAAATCCAAAAGCTTCTCAGTTACGGACTCCTCGCTCTTGTTTCTCTCTCTAGACAGCATCTCTCATGCTCTCTCTCTCTCTCTAGACTTCTCCTTGAAGCTTGACTCCTCTCCCTCTTACGTCTGGCTAATAGCCTTTTATCCACATTTTATCCTTTTTTTTTTCCTTAAGCTCATGAGATTGCCCTTGGATTCTTCCGAAATATCGTCAGTAGGATTAGGTTTTTCAAATATGAAAGTTGTCCTAATTCATAAGCATTGCATATCAAAATCTCATCGCTAAATTTATTTTTATTATTTTTATTTTTAGAAATTATGGGTGTTTTTATTTTTATTTTATTAGAATCAATTTTAAAAAATAAAAATTTTTTAGTTTTCTTCAAGAAAGTTCAATATTTTAAAAATATGTGTAAATCTAGAGGTTTGCGTCCTAAAATCATTATATTTAGATTTGTGCTAGGGGGGTAACATTTTGCATGTGGGAAGTTGTCTTTTAGTTATAGGAAGAGGCTAATTTTGTAGCTTATCCTTTAATATTTTTTAGAGAGGTTTTTTATTATAGAGGGTTATATTTTGGGGTTAGGTTGAAACTAGGGAAGATGAATTACTAAAATGTAACTGATGAAGCCGGAAGTTGTAGTTATTTTTTAAAAAGTTTGATGGAAGAATATGGAGATAGATTTATTTTGATTAATTATCGTTTTGTTTTTAGTAATAAGATATATCATGGGTTATCTTTTGAATGGTTATGTGAGATAGTTATTTAAATGTATAAAAGCAGGAAGTACGCACAATGTAAAGGAGATAGAATTTTGTTAATAAAAATAAAATGATGTTTGAAATCGTGTAGAGTGAGAGAGAGAGAGCTCAGTGTTTTTCTTTTAATTTGTTTACGGACCCATGTCGGAATATTTGTATCCGCGCGTTTTGTTCTTTATTTCTTTCACAATTTTTATTTTTTCGGAAACACGGTTATTTTTGCCTGTGTTGTTTGCTGATAATTTTATGCCGCATCAACAAGTTAGGCTTTCCTAGCCAAAAGGCTCACTCTTAAATTATAAATAAGGAAAAATATATAATAAGGCTATTTACCTTTATTATAAGAAGTTCACAATTAATCTTGACCGTTTGATGTGAAATTACATGGGTGCATTTATTCCATTTACCAAGCCTAAAATTCAAAACAAAATTTTTTGAACTTTGTGTTATACCCAAACTATCAGATTTCATAGTATAAAGTTCTAAATAATTTTGACATTTTTGTATTAAAAGTAAGTAATCTCATTATATACAATTCTTATAAATAAATAAATAGCTTGATAAACAATAATTTTTCAAGCCACCATATAATCTTAGGGCAAGTTTGCATGATCACTAAACACAAATTCTATTAATTTTAACTAGTGCAAGTGTATTTATTATAGTATGATCGTCTTCGAAATACACGAGAACGTCACATGTGGTAGAGGTGGCAACAAGTCCGCCAGGTCCCAAAAAAAATGATATGGGATCCGAGCCCTAGATTTGAAAATATAGTGTGGGATATGGACCCGGACCCGGACCCAGATCCAGACCCAGACCCAATCGGATACGATCCAAAAATTAAAATATATATTATTTACTTATGGAAAAAGTTTATATGGAGATGAGGCTCTAAACAATCAAATTCAAGCCTACCTCAAAAATTTCACTAGAAGATATTGTTTTGATGCCCAAATATCTTCAAATTCATCATCTCGATATCAAGATGTATGGACATAATAAAAAAATGGATTTCAAGTTGTAGAAATAGTATATTTTGTAACGCACTTTTAGACCGTCAAATTTCAAGATTTTTAAGTTTTCATAGATCTCTCGGTCTACATTATTTTTGAAGCTTTAAACTTTATAAATAAAGATGAAAACATATTTAAAGGCTATCAAGAAGATTTTCGGCATTGAAACCATATTTCTTGACACTATTTGAAGGTAGGCTCTAATTTGATTGTTTAGAGCCTAGGCTCCATACAAACCGCATTCTTTAATAATATTTAAATATTATTTAATTATATTTAAATACATTTCATATATTGGGACCCAAAAAATATTACCGGATTCATACCCAACTAGCCGGATCCAATTTTTTGACCCATACCCAAACACAAATCTGGTTTATACCTCGGGTCTTAGGTCGGGATCGGGTCCATTGCCACCCCTAGCAAATAGGGACAAACAGGGAAGAGTGGAAAGAAAGAACTTGTTTTTGCTGCTTGTTAGATGAAGAGTGTGTTATATTCATGTGGTGGCATGTTGTACATGAATTCCCACATGCAAAATAATTACTTGTGACGATCTTTTTCCATAAAATTTGAAATCTACTTAAGGACCACTAGGAAATTATTTTTTTTAAAAAAAAAATTGGGGTTTTAAGTTCTTCAACACAGAGATCTTGCCCTCCAAAAATTAGATATCCCCATTTATCTATTGGGACATTATATCCTCTCTTTGACTCCTTTTTGTTGAGGACATTTACCCCTAGCACTATTCACTCCCCTCTTCCTCCACCCTTTCCAAATAAAATAATTGAAAGAGAAATTTGACTCTCTCTCTCTAGAGCAAGAAGCACATAAATTATTCAATTCATTGATAAACAACGAAAACTTAATCCCAACGAAAACAATAAATGTTGACTTCTCTCTTTATGTGTATTATTGCCCAATTGATTCAATATGACCAAGTTAATAGAAATTAGGGAAATTATTATAAACCCACCACTTATTGTATTCTATTGATAGACCCTCCCCCAAAAAAGCGGCCCCCCCCCCCCCCCCCCCCCCGCCCTCCCCCCCCTAGTTTTTTATTGGCACCAAATTCCCTAAAGATTGTTTTGTTTAGCATAAGTCATTCTCCCCAACCAAAAAGTGAAATTTTTAGCTCACTTGGCATAAAAATGCCCTTATTAGCGAAACGAGGCATTACACTAGAAGTCGGTCTTGAACATGAGTTTCTGACAAGCTTCTAATTTATAATTGAAGCTGGTCAGATACTCCATGAGTCAGATTCATTCACTGTAGTTTTCTATTAGAAATTGCTTCGACACATGAAGTGTTGAACCAGCTTCTGGTTTATTAATGAAGTTGGTCTTGTACTACATGTAGCAAACCAACTTCAGTTTTCCATTAGAAGTCGGTTCGATGCATGGAGTGTTGAACTAGCTTCAAGTTTTTATTCATGAAGTTGATCTTGCACTATAGGTAGTAGACTGACTTCAATTTTACATTAGAAGCCGGACTAACACATGCTGTGTCAGACCAATTTTTTTTTACCGTTAAGGCCAATCTGGTACATGGATTGCCAGATCGACCTCCAGGTCTTGTCTGGTACTCCAAGTGCGGCCTCGCCCTTACAATAGCCTTTTTTAAAAATGAGACTACAAGGCATTTTTTACCACAACGGGATTTTTATCCTAAAATACCCTATTTTCTTTCTTGGGGAAGCTACAAAAATGAAAAAGTAAATGGGTTATTACTGTGATTAAGAAAGTGTTCAGGGTCCTATGGCCAATAAGTTTGGTCAAAGTTTTCTTAAAAAATATTCACAAATTTCGTTTAGGGACTCTTTAATGTATTTTATTCTCCTTTATACTTTTTTTTAAATCACGTTTTATTCCCGTCTATACTATTTTGAGTCATTGTTGAACGCACTCGACCCAATCGAGATAGACGAGTTTAATGCAAAATAACAAAAAAAACAAATTAAGATAAAGAAACCTTGAAGTTCATGATTTGTCTAGGGCTTAGAACATATGAGAGGAGGGTTTTTTTGTGCTTACATTGTCAACTGAACTTCCAAAATCCGTAATTCAATTATAGATAAATGGAATAGGTCCTTCTTTTTGGGTAATAAATAATGGTGTGGTATATAAGGGGCGCACCTTCAAATTGGTTAAAAGATGTTGTTTTAATATTGGAAATATTTGTGATGACTTGAAATTTTTGTTTTCATCTCTAATTATAATATTTGAAGCTTAAAAAATAATGTAGATTGAGCAAATCTATAAACAATTGAAAATTTTGAAAATTAACGGTCCAAAAATGCATTAGACTTGAAATCTATTTTTTCTTATGTCTATACATCTTGAGGTCGATATGCATCGAAATAATTTCTTTTATATAAATAATAATATACTCGATAATTTTTGGGCAACTTCCTGCTGTCAAACACGCCCTTAGTAAAGTTTTGAGGTGCGTCTAAATTTGATTGTTGAGGGCCTCGTCCTTATGTGAACTCTTTCCAAATGGACTAGGCTCTAGACTCGCTTTCTTGACAAGAGCGCGTTAAACTAACGCCGAGGCCTTTTTACCATATCACCTAAATCTCTGTTTGGACAGACCATCTATTTACAAATAAATATGTTAGCCTGCTAGGCATTTAGGAGTGTAAAAGGCAACAGCTTAATTGTCTCTCCTTTGAAGGTTGAGGGCCTTGCTATCCTCCATTTAGTAAGACAACACTGTCAAAAATATTGTTTTTCGCTTTATTTTCAAATAACTATGTTATTTAATGGATTTTTTTTTTTTTACCAATATTATGTAATTCACCTAAGTCCAATCAGACTTGAGCGAATTACTTGGACTCACCTTATGGGCGAGGCCAAGTAGGGTATACATTCTACATAATATTATATTCAGTTTAATTCAAATAACATTTGATGCCTTTTTTGTCAGTATTTACAACTTATGGGCCCTCTAATTAGGGTTTGAACCCCCTTAAACACACCCTACCTTTTGTTTATCTTTTCTTTTTAAAGGGATTCGTAAAAATTGTCCATAGGGCAATTCGATAACTGTCACACCCCAAGAATTTACAATACTGTTATTCCTGAGATGTGACAGACAAAACATATATACATCTATTGATAGGACAAATTTACAGTGGCGAGGTCTTACAAAGTAAATAAAGAAAGCTAGTACAACAACAGTATCTTCCAAGGTTGATCTTGACTATCACTCAAAATGAATCCGCAGTTATCCTGAAAAAAATGTTTACCATAGTTTGATGAGTTTGGCTACTCAGTAAGTGATCATAATAATCCTAAAAATAATCATGATTGAAAGATATCAATATTTT